ACTTTGTCTTTCAACTTTCAAAATCAAAATGTTCATTCGTTTCAGCCATTATTCCAATTTGTTATCATCCCCGATTTGTCTCTCTGGTTGTCTATTAGTCAGCTCTCAAAGCATAAAACCAATAGCCTAGCCGGTGTTTAGCTGCCTGTGTAAATCCCACACATTGCGGTGATAATAGCTTAGTAGATGACATTAAATTTTATCTATGCCAGTTTGTTACCAAATATTAGAGACCATCAAATTGAAACCCCTTCGAAAGAAATGAAAAAGCCTCTGTGAAACTAAGGCCAGTCATCAACTCTAAGATATACCTCAATTGCACAAATGTGAACTGGGAAAACATGGCCATCTCCTGCTCAAGAGTCATTGAGTCACAATGTTTCTGCACTCTGTTGGTTTTCCTACAGTGGAGCCATCTCCTAACTGTCGAGAGTCATTTCAAAAACAGACAGCAGCACCCAGACTCCCACTGCTCCCAGTAATATTTCTACACCCCCTGCCCTTGTTTTCTCTCATTCTTTATGTGAATTGTTTCTTGTTTATAACCACAGTGAACCAAAAGGCTCAGGAGTTGGGAAACTGGTTCCTACAACTTCTTTAGAAAAGCTGTATATAGTATCTGTCTATTATCTGTCCATCATCTGTATTCTCATCAGTCTGTCTATCTATCCTGTATCCATCCATTTATCTGTTATTTAATGGCTTTGTGTCTGATACCATTTTTTAGAATTTTGATCAAAACACAAACAGGAAGAGTTTAACTCTAACTGCCTGTTAAGTCCACTTAGTATTTCTGGATCCATCTAACTGGTGTTTTCTCTATTATATAATTTATTTGTCTTTTGCATAATTTCAATAATTTTCCAACGTATTCATCTGTTATTAAGTGCTTTTGTTATCTTTTATAAAAGTATATTCTATTTTCTTATACTTCTATCTTCATTGTTTTAGGACCTCAATTTTTCACCATTTATTTAAATACACACACACACACACACACACACACACACAAAATCAGCAGTGATATGCTATCCATCTGTGAAGTACTTCCTTGAACATTATTGACAGAAAGTATGCCTTTGGCAAGGTATTTTCGTTAGTGTGGTTTGAAGCTGTCTTTATTATCTTCTTCCATGGCGCTTTGCTGCAAGCAGATTCTGACTCATGTGCATTTGTGCATTTCGAGTAGTCTCCGTAATTTCTGATGAAAACTCCCATGTGTTCCAAACCTTTGCTTTCCGATTCTTTTGGTGTGTCTGTTTGAACATGTTCTCTTCTGTTTGTTCTTTACAACTTTGGCCATAACACTTGAAGGTGTGATATTCTTTGCATTTGTTCTGTTGGTATTTGTTTAGCTTTTTGAATTTATATTTGCATGTATATACTTACAAGTGAATTAGGGGAAGTTATTGTTTCAAAGTATTTTTCTTTTTCTTGCACAGCTCTCCCTGACCAATTCCTTCACCCTCTGCATTTACATGTATATTTGGTCTGCAACATTGTTTGTTCTTTGGGTTTCTGAATCTCAGATAAATTTTCATATGGTTTTTAAATTTGTTTGCTTTTTAATATTATTGAATAATTTCTATGAATGGGTGCATCTATAATATGTAGCACTTGTATGTTAAAGCTCATCAAGTAATTTTATCATTTCTGATTCAGTTTTTAAAAAATTGGGGGGCAGGAACAGAGTTTGACTATGTCGAATAGACTCACCTCAAATTTATAGTGTTCTTTCACCAGCCTTGAATGCTGGGATTATCACATGTACTACCTGCTCCTCTTGCTGTTAAAATGATCTATTGAAATATGAATTATAAAAATTATATCACTTTTAATTTTTGTATCATAATTTCTATTTTGCATTTGAGATTTGTTATCATATTTCTTATCATAAGTAAATTTAATTTTTATAAAATTAACAAGATTATATTTAGTGATGCCAACATCCAGGGTTTCTTATGGCTTTTCTCTATTACTTGTTTTTTGTGAATATTGGTTATACTTCCTTATTTCTTTGTATGTTTAATATATTTTATTGTGCCTAGACATTGGGAATAGTTACTGTCTCAGGATTAAAGGACACTTTATGGAACATCTAAATCTGCCTATAATCCCAATACAGGTCTTTTTTTTTTTTTAACTTCTTTCAGCCTTTCCTATTTCTTGGTCTTTCTCATGCATATTTAGTTCAAACACTGAACAGTGCTGTGGGTAGATTTCATACTTAGCGTTTGGGCATTTCCTAGTCTGGCCATCTACTTTCTGGGATTCATTCCTTTCTTTTTGGAATCCTGTTGTCTTTATCCCAGACTTTGAGACGCTGTCGTCTGATCTTCCTTTCTTCCTTCCTTTCTTTCTTCCTTCCTTCCTTCCTTCCTTCCTTCCTTCATTCCTTACTTCCTTCCTTCTTTCCTTACTTCCTTTCTCCCTCCCTCCCTCCTCCTCTCTCTCTCACTCTTTCCTTTTTTTTTTTTGCAACACAACTTTCTGGTTTTGGAAGCATGCCACTTGAGGCTACCCCAGCCAGAAGAAGACTTTTGCTTTCTTTGAAGAACCTGCTTCAGGTGCCAATCTTTCCTCTCAAGCATTGAAACTCCCAACTATTTGCCTGCAGACATTCTCCTTTCAGTGTCTTTAGATCGAACTTCTAGAAATACTTTGGAAATTGCAGTTATTTATGAGGAAATGACCTATCATCAGAAACAGGATCAGAGCTTGCATGCTAGATCTGAATAAAATCTCACCCCCCGGAAGACTGTTTTCCCAGGGCATGGAATTTCCTCACACATTTCATACAAATCACCTCCGGTGATTGTCCATGTTTATTTTCTAAAGTGTCAGGAAATGTGTGTCCTGACCAGCCTAATAGATATATGAGATTTATTTAAAAGCTGTTTTAGTAAGCCATTTTCCTTTAATCCCTTGATGGGTTCTTAATTAAGAATCATCCACACAACTTCTCTATATTCTTTTTCTCATATAGAACCTACACAAACCCATAACTTCTAGAATATTGAAGATGTGCATTACCCATTTTAAACAACATACATGTGTATTTCTTTCCTTATATTACCTTATTCTAGAATTAACTTTTGAGAGGCTAAGCAAGGATACTATATTTATAGCTTTGGTCTCCATCGCCTATAAGAAGTCACTTTGCTCAAATTCATGCATGAAGTAGTTATATGTTTTTCTAATATTCAGAATTTTTGCAAGAGTATTGGGAACTGATCCTTAGTGGTTTATGAGATTATCATGTCCTCTCGAATATTTGTATGTAAGGTGTGACTTTAACCAATTGCTTGTCATGGGTTTGCAGACCAGCTTGGTTGGCTGTATGATTGTCACCCAATTCTAGTATAGAGTCAGCTCAAAAGTTGTCTAAGCTAGGCATCCAGGATGGCTCATTCATATGGAAGTTCATTTGGGGCTGTCTACCAAGATACCCAAATGAAGCTTCTCCATTCATCATGAGGCTGGGTTCTCAGAAGAAGAAGAAGTGCTCCAAAAGCAGAAGTTCCAATATCCAGGAAGTACCCAAGGGATTAGGAATCATCAGGAAGTATACTAAAACTATTCAGCCATAGTCTACTGGCCAGGAAAAAAAAAACCTCATGTACTAATTTAATTGAACTCATATTTGGAATTTTGCATTTAAAAGTTGCACGAATTCATGTACATATATTTCAAAGTAATACATGATAATTTTCTTGCTTCATTAAGTCAATTAATTTGACTCTTTGATCTCAGTGCTATTTTTATTCAGATGTTTTGAGATAGGATATCCTAAGATGGCCTCAAACTTACCATCCTCCTGCCTCAGCCTCCTATATGCACGGATTACAGAAATGTGCTACCACAGTTTGGCAACAACACTATTTTTTGAAAAAAAAAAAAAAGATAGAGAGAGTAAAAAGAAAATCTGACCTGTCCAGATTTTTCTTATTAGGCAAACTATCAGTTCTCTCCCTTTAGTCTCTCATTTTGCCTGATGTCCCACATAATCTTTTTGGAATAATTGGGATGGCTTATGTGATATCAGTAGACCTCCTAATTGAATGTCAAGGAAAGCAGTTCCTATTGACAAGGGGACCTCCAGCTTCATTGAGAAGCATTCAATTAGATGGAAAACAGATGCTTATTTTTGTCTTATAAACCTCAATGCAGGTTATGTGGTAATTACTTGAAGAGCAGGATAACAATTTATGTAATCAGCAGGACCCTATAATTACTAATGCATAATTTCTAAACAGCATTTAGCAAAATGAGACCCATACATACACTTTGTAATGGAAAAGATGTGTTTGACACCACACTAAATTAAATTTAAAATTTGCATATTTTCTTCCAGGAAACACACTAGCTTCATCTGCTCTATTTTGCTTGACTAATCTCTGCCTGCTTCCAGCTCCACTGAAGGATCATGGCAGCTGTGAGAGCTGTGACTAGGGGGATGAGAAGCAGGAACAAAGCAGAGCTTTCTCTATAGTCAAGAATGTGGAACAGCATCCTAAGAAGAGACCAGGAAGGCTGCATCCTAGCAATTTCTGTCTCCTGAGAGTCTGACATGGGGTCATACAAAATTTAGAGTGTAAATGTTGATAGGAAATTTAAAAATTATTTGCACTTATATCTTTATTACTTATGGAAAAACTGAGACCTGCAAAATGCCGTGACTTGTACAACACCCAGGAACAGGCAGTAGGAAGAGGATAGCACCCACTCAGACTCAGATGTTAAACCTAATCTACTACACACAACTCAGATACTGTTCGACAAGTCACACAAAATAGCCACAGGGATAGGGAATATTTTCTTGAAGAAAGTTTTAAAATTTACATGTGTATTTATGTTGCAGCTCAGAAAATACAGAGATATACAGGAATCTCATTGAGATAATGAATCTCCACATATTTTAACTGAGCTAAGTATGAGCCATTTCATTCTCTCTCAATGATCATTGATGAAATCATTCATATCCATTATTGAATTCTTACCTGCAATTCCTGAGATCAGGTTAAGAGGGTTGCCAGTATCTTCTTCAAAGCTCTGGACCTAAGATATCAAAATGCATCAATTTCACTAGAAATATTTCCATGACATATTCACTTTAATCAATAAACAATGATTATCCACCGATAAGCACATAGAGGGATAAGCATGAGGGGCTGAAGTCAAATAGGTAATAACCTTCTGAGAGGAGGTCATGAGATGTCCACAAGAAAGACCCAAAGAATTAGAGTTCAGAGAAGTTCTGCGTGGGAGGATCAAGGCTCCTTTCTGCAAGTTGTGCATTAGAACTTTTTTTTTTTTTTTTTTTTTTTTTTTTTTTGCCATGGAAGAATATTAAAGACAAGTGCCATAGGATTCTGTGAAGAGAGGACAGGAGTCAGGCATTCTCTGGTAAGAAAAGGCCATCTAGAAATACATAGAATAGTAGTTACAGGTTAATAATCAAGACAGAGCAATCCAATAAGAAGCCCTAGTCATCAGCCAACGGTCTAATAATTAATATAAGTCGTTGTGTGTTCATTTGGGGCTGAGGTGGCTGCAGAACCAGGCTGGAGAGAAAGAGTGCTTGTAACAAGCAGAGTTTATTTTTGAAATATTTTGGAAATTAATGATAATATTCTACAAATGATAACAAAGCTATTAGTAAAACACAGCAGTAACTATTACCTTTAAACAGTAACATAGCTCACTGTAAAAATGTAACACCCAGAAAATTCTTTAAAAGTTAAAAACAGTTACTGTCGACATTTTGGAGTGTTTGTAAGATTTGTTTTGCAAACCTTTTCTGGATATAGTTATGAAGCTAAAAATTTTCAGTCAAGAGTTTGGAAGAGTGGCATCTTATGCTCAGAATTGATTAGACATACTTAGCAGTATGTATAACAAATGAGCATTATCACATTCTTAAATGTAATGAGGAAACTCTCTTCCCATATCATTATCATGAAGAAAAATCCACTTAGTACAATGTAAAATAGACTTTTTTCAATTGGAAAACCAAAATGGAAGAAAGGGGTGCAAACATTTAAAACAAATGTCAGGTATATCCTTGAGCTTTCTACCATGTACAAGTTATTATTTTTTAAAAAATCAGTACCAATGGAGTAAAGAAGTAGTTGGCACCCAGCAAAGATGCCAACAGATAATAATGACATTGGTCTCACATGTGTTGTCTATAATGTGTCCATTTACGAAATAATGAAGGGCAAAGATTATTGATCATTAACATAAAGAAGCATATGTCATGTAGCATAACTACATGGGTTTCACAAGTATTAAATTCACTTACTATTCTTGGTAGCTTGAAAAGAAAGGAACTGACTCAATCCTGATTAGTAGAATTAAACACAGAATGTATCACTCTTTGATTGGAAATCTATGTGTAGTTTTTGTTGGAATTACAGTTTTGAGATTCAAGCCAAATATGGCCAAAAGCAACATTCAACAGGCCTGGAGTGAAGTGTGATAGATTGGCTGTAAAGGAAAATTTGGCCAACCAAAGTTAAAACTCTACTGGCCAAATATTTATGCATATTGGCTATAATTTAAATGTCTCAAAATCTGTCGATTTCACACACACTTTTATTTCTTATAATTAAATTTTTAGATTTGTGATTAAAAAATAGATGTTAAACCCGATATTGGATCCTGTTTAACATGCAGTTCCCTAGGCTGGGGGAAATAAGCATTTTCCCAGTGCTAATATAATATTTTACAAATCGTGTTTCTGCTTTAAGGAGTGAGCTTCTTTCCTATTGTTTTAGGGTTATCACTGTGTTATATAATATGAAGCATTTTACATATACAAGAAAATATTGAAGTTGAATATAAAGTTCTACAAAATATTCTAGTTTCTTTTTTACATTTATTTAGTGTGTGTGTTTGTGTGCACATGCGTGCATGTGTGTGTGTGTGTGTGTGTGTGTGTGTGTGTGTGTCCATTTGTGGAGGAAAAACTGCAGGGGTCAGTTCTCTCCTTCCATCAAGTGAGTTCTGGAGATCAACCTCAGGTCTTCAGGCTCAGTGAAGCCTTTACCCGTGGAGCCACCTCACCTGCCCAATGTTATCATTTTCTGTGTACACTATCTTGGATTAATGTAGAGTACTTCAGTGATATTTAATGAAAGTATTATGTTACTGTTCAAGTAATCCTTACAAGTATATGTTTGCTTTATAATAGGAAATTGAATTTAAAATAATGTGTAAAGTTACAAAACTAGAAGAAAACAGATTTTGTAAAGTGCTATAACTTGACAAAATAATGATGTGGTACAAAAGTGTTGTAATCTTGTAAAGGTTCCCTGTAAGGATTTCTATAAGGCATATGCATGCATGCACACATAAACATGTATTTACGTAGATACTATCTTCATTGGCCACTATGTATTTAATGAAACACATTTTGGGGGCAGAGGGTTACTGTGGGTTCCTCCCCTAACTAAAACCCAGTTTTCTTAAAGTCATAGTTAATATTTACTATCCATAAGTTCCTCGGTCTTCTCAGCCACCTAGTTATTTAATAATACCTTTTGTTGCTTCTTAGCTATCACAAAATAGGCTTTCAGAATTGTATAAGGGCCCATCTCTGGACCTGTCCCTGGTTCTCTCTGGCATTGATTTCTGTGCTTATCCCTGTTATTACTCCTTTGAAAGAATATTCTGTTATTAAACTCTATGGTGGTGGCTGTGCCTGGCACATGAGAGCTCAGCAGAGAGACATCTGCCATCTAGTGATTTATAAGTTAAATAAATTACCCCATTCTACTTGGATTAATTCAGATATACAGTGGGTAGGCAAAGCACCAGTCCTTATTCTTTTGTGAATATAATAATTAACAGTTGTCTATAAGCTCATGCCCCATTCTAGTTTCCATTGTGAATACAGAGGCAAGAGAAAATGTACATATTTATGTAAATACAAAAGAAGGTATCCAAAAAAGAGTGCAAATTAGTATGAGTGACAGAAAGTAAGAATGAAGAAATAGAGAATGCAGCTGAAATGGGGTCTCAAAACATGATATCAATAAACCCTAAAGCAAATAAATAAAGGAAACTAACTTCCTAATTTCAAGGCCCACCCTGAATTCATAGTGTTTTATTAAGGACTTTGCATAATACATTTTGGCAAGTATTTTCTAACTCTTCCCTTGGTCTTTAGACTGCACAGAATTCAGCAGGGCAGAGGCAACTGACAGGCACACCCATTTCATGAGGTTTCTATGCTGGGACTCTGAGAACAAAGGGGAAACATCTGGGGGGTAACTACCACTGATTGGCAGTAATTGAACTGACACCTAAAAGAAGGTGAATTTTGGATAGAAAGTAGATAATAACATTCAGATACTCAATAAAAAATGGAGTGAAAACAACGTAAAAAAAATGACTCAGATTCAGTTGTGAAGGAAGAAAGATAGATAGGTATGGTATTTGATTGAGAGTGACCCCAAAGACTCATTTGTTTGAATGCTTGGTCTCTAGTTGTTGGAAGTGTTTGGGAAGGATTGGGAGTTACAGCTTTGTTAGAAGCGGTGCGTCACTGTGGGAGAGCTTTCAGTTTTCAAAGTCTATGCCATTTACCGTTAGCTCTCTCTGCATAGGGCTTGTGGACTGGGTAAACTTACATACCACCTGCCTATTGGTGTTAGGAGTAAGGATTTTCCCCCCAGCCCACCGAGTCCCTGAGCTGTGCCAGCCCCAAATAATACACAGAGACACTGTATTAGATATAAATGCTGTTGGCCAGTTACTTGTTTCTTATTGGCTAGCTCTGTCTTAAATATTAACCCATTTTTATTAACCTAAGCACTTCCACGTGGTCTTATCTTACTGGAGAGAGGGGCTGGCATTCTTCTCTCTCTGTCCTCCATCTTGGATCTCCTCCCTACACCTTCCTCTCTCCTCCTTGTCTCCTAGTCCTGCCTATCTTGCTTTCCTATTGGCCAACAGTGCTTTATTCATTAACCAATGAGAGAAACATGTTCACAGAATGACATCTCCCATTATACTGGCATACTTCTTTCCATGACTTTACCTTCTGAAGCTATAAGCCTCTATCTAAATAAACTCTTTTGCCTCTAATTTGCCTTGGATTTAGCACAGCAATAGAAAAGTAACTAAGACATTCAGAGAAGGCTGGTTTCATGACAGTTCAGTTCTTCATAAAGCAATTACAATAACTTTAAGTGTCTCAGACTAAACTGAATTTAGAACTGTAAGATAAAAGAGAAAAAATTTTGGACATCAAGTGGATCAATGGAAGCAAGAAGGCACAAAGACATGGTGGCATAGGCCATTTCCAATAAGAGGCTGAAAAGTTGGTAATAATACTTACCTCTTCCATTTCAAAGGAGTCTGCTCCTTTACTCACAATGTGAGACAAGTTCTTGAATTTGTCCATGTGAATCCATTTCTCCTTCCATATTTTCCTCCTCACTGACCCCTCAGACACACTGGTATGGGGATACTGTTTTGCTAGTGTGGATGAGCAAGGCCACTGTTTGTCCCGAAGAGCTTGTGAAGGAAGACAAGGGGAAAAGTCATTGAAGGCTTGGGTAGAACCATGCTCTATTGAAGGAGGCCCTTGACTTCCATCATGGCTAATGGAAGCCACTTGTACTTCCAATCTATACTCCCATAGCTTGGTTGGCAGAGTAAAAATGTCATCTTCCATCTTGAGTAATTCTGACAGTGCTGCGTTACCATCCCTATTGGTGTACTGGCTTGAAGTTTTCCTTAAAAGTTGATTCATTCCTCTGAAGTGCTCTTTAGCTACATGTGATGTGGGGCTTTGGACACCCTGTCTTCCATCTTTCTCTTCATCTTGGCTCTGGAGAGTGTTAACGTCATTCAACAAGGATGAGAAGGCATTAGACACATGATCCAGGATTTCTAACTGTCGGAACCGGCCTGAAGAACATAGGAACATAGATGTTTCAGATGTTGTGTTGTTGTTGTTTTGTTTTTTTCTCTTTATGATACTACTATAAAGCAGTAAATAATATAATAAGGACTAAAAAATGGGGGTAGTGAGAAGGCTCAGTAGTTAAAGTCCTGATGTCCCTCTGTACTACTGGAAAGATAAAACACACCCTAAAGCCATAACCTAGGCTTTCAACATAAAGTTGTCCAAATATGCTTCCCGTAGCTTCATGAATTAGTTGTCTTGCCATCATGTTCATTATCTGCATCATCCATATATGAGGTAGTATATGGAATCAATGGAATCAGGAGGCCTGGTTCTAAAAGTATCCATTACCGGGAGTTTAGTTCCACTGTGCATGAGTTAATATGCATGCAGTCCTTAGCTCTGTGCCAAACATAGTAAATGTTCATGCTTTTTACTTTTTAACTTTGATAACCATGGCTATCTATCTCTCTTAGCTGAGCTGTACATACCTATGTAAATAGGCAATATGGGTTTGTGTGATATCCATAGCTCTTGATGCCATCAAGCAATGGCAATGCCAGGGGTCTTAGCTGCCACCTGTAGCCATGCTGATGTCTGAGTGCCCCAGTGCCATGAGGTTGATGCTAATCTGAGTGGCCTTGTAGACACAGAGCTGAGCCCAGGCTGCCTGCAGGGCATGTCCATTGCCTAAGAGCAGCCAGGGTCTGGGATGATGTCCATAGCTTGTGCTGCCTAAGGTGTCATAGAAACCATGGGTGTTATAATCTGAGGCTATACTGAGTCAGCCCTGTTCCTCACTGGCCTGGGATAGCTGACCCTGCCCCTTACTGGACATTGCAGCAGGAGAGCTGGGGCGGCCTCCATGGGAGTGCTGACTGCAGCACTGGGGAGAGATGGTCCCACTCCTCACCACAGGTGTGGAAAAGCTGGCCCCTATGGCATGGGGCCTAGAAGAGTTGCCTCTGCCCCTCACTTGAGGGGGTGGGCCCAGTGGCCCACACCCACTGGTTCTGCTGAACAATAACCTCAGGTCTCCATGACTCAGGGCACCAACAGGATATCTGAGAGGAGTTTTGATGAGGACCCAGTGATGGGGCCTAGAAGCAGACCAATGACTCATTACAATGATTATCTTGTTTGTTGGGCTGCACGACACACTGCAGCTTCAGATGTCACTAGGATGAACAAAGAGGTGCTGGAAAGATGCAGGGACCAAGTGGGTTATTTGTTTTGTTTGTAATTCATTTTGGGGGGCATACTGCAGAGGTGAGAGGTAAATATGGAGGGACTGGGAGGTAAGCAGGATTGGGGTGCATGATGTGAAACTTCCAAAGATTCAATAAAGAATTATGTTTAAAATTTTAAGCAAGTTATTTTTAAAAATTATATTGTTTTCAATCTTTCAAGAAACAATCAACATTTAATGAGAGATCCCATTTGCTTTCACACTTAAGCACATTCTCAGTTAGTCTTGCTTCATAATATCACAGTAATATTTTAATAATCCAGCAACATATGAAAGTATTGGCTAAATTAGCATTAGAAAGGGACCTCAAGAAGGAAATGACAATTTAGGCCTATGATGTCAGTTTTTAAAACACAGTGACTTTTTAAAAAATCTTTGGTATAATGATATAATAAAACCATGGTGATAGAAAAGCAGGGAATTTTATTTTGTAGTACAGTTTTATCAAAACCCTGATGATATCAAAAAAGTAAAGGACTCAGCAATGCTAAAAACCCACATAGTTTGGCAAAGACACTCCATTAGTCATATTTTCTTACATGATGACCAAATACTTGACAAAAAAACTTGAAGGACAAAGAGGAAATTTCTTTTTTGGACACAGGGTTTCTCTGTGTAGCTTTAGAGCCTGTTCTGGAACTTGCTCTGTAGACTGAGCTGGCCTCAAACTCACAGAGGTCCACTCGTCTCTGCCTCCCCAGTGCTGGGATTAAAGGCTTGCACCACTAATGCCTGGCCAGAAAGGTGATTAATTTTTATTCATGTTTTCAGAGGATTCAGTTGATTATTGTGAGGAAGGTGTGGCAGAGTATGACAACCGACCTCATCACAGCCAATAAAGGAGAGAAACTATGCATGCCTGGGTTAGCCAGGTTTCTTTGTTCTGTACTTTTAAATTGACTTAATTCTTCCACTGTTCTATTTAATGATATATTTAACGCATTCTGGTTACTTTCTCCCCCAGCATTCTGGTTACTCCCCTCTTTTATCTTTTTTCTCATTCCTATCAGTATCCCTTGGCCCATCTCTACCAGCCACTTTACCAAGATTTTTAATCCTTGGGTTGCTTAGATTAACTAGGGCTATGTAAGTGAGAATTGGAAGGGAGCCTGGAGGAGTCACCAGTGGGTATGCTGCTGAAAGTGTTCACTTCCCCTCTTCCTGAATGTATCAATAGCAAATAGTTAGTGAAGAGTAGGGCCTTTCATTCTCTCTTCCATCCACACCTGAGTGCTCATGGGCCCATTCTCATGCAGACCCAGCCAGGGCAGGCATCTTTAACAGTTACAAACAATGACCCTGCATTGTTCAAAAGATGGCATTTTGCAGCCCCTCTCACCATTTTCCCGCTCTTATTCTATTTCCATACTCTTTTGGATAATATCCCATGAGCTTCAGAGAAAATGTTATAAGTGTTTTATTCAGGGATGAGCACTTATTCTCAGTACCCCGTGCAGCCAAGATTCTTTCTGTATTCACTACCATTCTCTAGAAAGCAAGGTTTCTCTATTGAAAACTGAGAATAACAATCATTATGAGTATAAACAAATATCCGGACGTTATTTTACTCTCTGTATTCTATTTAAGCACCAAGACTGTGGGATGGTGCTACACACATTCAGCATAGTCTCCCCACCACTTTCATAGTTAATCCTCTCTGGAAGCATACAGACATACCCAGAAGTGTGCTTTACTAAGTTCTTGTTTCTCAATATAGTTAAATTAGCAATCAAAGTTAACAGCCACAAGTCCATCCCTTGTTAGCCTGACACCCAAAACACCTCCCATTAAATTATAGCATTACACTTCTGACCTTCAAAAGACTCATGAATGACTCATGTAAAAATGCATCAGTTCAGTTCCAAGAGTTTCCATACTCTTAATTGTGTGGGCAGCTCAAAAATACAAGTTCAAATCTCCTCTGAAGAGTGAGACTGTAAGATCAAAATTTGGTGATCTGAAACATCACTGACTGGAACAAATATTCCCCTTTCTGAACTGAGAGGTGGAATCCTAGAAGAGAGGAATGGGACCAAAACAAGTCTGAAGCCAAAGACAATCATTAAATCCTGTGGCTCCATGTCTACCATCAGGGCACAGATTTGCATTCTGTGAACCCCAGTGGACTGCTTTGGCCTTATTATCTCCAGCCTATGTGGCTCCTCTCTAGGTCTGGCTATGCTCATTGGCTGTGGCTTTCCATGGCAGATGTTCCGTATTCCTGGGATCTCTAACCTCTGGGAATCTCTTTTCTGTCTTTGGCTTTCCTCTCATAACTACATACACATACTGCCCTCTCAGGAACTCCATGAGGAGAACATAACTTCAAACTGCCTGACAGCCCAGGCTTTACTTTGAAATATGGATGAAAGCATCACAATCCTTTGATTTTTACATACTCATGCTTACAAACCAGCATCACAAGCTGGGAATGGTGCACACCTTTAATTATAGCACTTCTGAGGCAGAGGCAGGTAGATCTCTGTGCATTTGAGATCAGCTTGATCTACATAGTGAGTTCCAGAACAGCTACAACTACATAGTGAGACCTGGTCTCAAAACAAACAAACAAACAGCATCATATTGATAAAGACTAGGTCTACTGTGATCTCATGCTGCAGCTAGACCCCTAGAACTATGACAAAAGCCATCTAAGCCCAGATGACTTTCCTAAGTAGTTTTGTGTGAGCATGGTACCCCTAAACTCTTCTCCTACTCTTTAAAATTAATTCAAACACTTCCAATAAGCCTGTGATTAATGAGACCTCAAAACATTCATTTATATCTTTTGCTTGTGTTTGCATATTCTTTTTTATATGCATGTTCTCATGTGTGTGGGTATGTAGGTGCATACAGGTTCATGTGCACATCAGTTTCTTGACCACTTCCTCTCTAATGCATTGGTATAGGGTCTTTTTTTAAACCTGGAACTCACTGTTTGGGCTTGTTTAGCTACCCAGCTTGCTGCAAGACATCATATTTCTGCTTTCTGAGGCTGGAATTATAGACAGTTATGCCTATAAGACATTTACATGACAAACATTTTAACCACTAAGGTATTTCCCCAGCACACCCAGGTTTTGTTTTTTTTTTTTTTTTTTTTTTTTTCCCATGGGTTTTGGTGATCCAACCTCTAGTCAACACACTTGCCTAGCAAGTATTTTACCCACCAAGCATCTCCTCAGCTGTGAGTTTAAGATGTCTTTAATATGTATTTTCTATTATTTTGATGTAAAGTACTTGTTTCTTCTAACAGTTTTAGTTTGATTGAGTGGTCATGATCTCCACCCTACCTTTCCATGTTTTCTCTGGGCAAACTAACTTTTCAAAAGCCCCCCGCATTAACATTTTGCTCTGCCTTTGTTATAAATTTTGCTGGAAGCAAATAACAATAACCACACTGTAGCATCATATTGTTCTGCTTTGAAATTTCATCTACCATACTAATTAGATCATCATTGGTAAGTTTAGCCTCTCTTCAAATCCCTTGGAACAAAGTGTATAAAAGTTTTGCCATAATATCACAGGAATGGCCTCCAGTCTGTTCCTGGTTCTCAGAGGGGAATACGTCTTAGTCCTCACAAGGTACATCCTCACCGTTTGCCTTCTGTCAGCACTTTGGTCTTTTGAACTCCCTCTACAATAACCCATTACTGCTGTTTATAATATCATTCTGGGGCTTCTTAATACTACGTACTTTTACCTTCCCTCAACATCTCTTACAAACCACTTCCAGCAACATTGCCAAATAAAGTCGACCCTCACTTCTCTACCAATTTTCTGCATTATTTGGACATCTTTTAAAGATGTGGCCAAATACCTCAGAGGGAAAACTTAAAATAATTACTTATGCTGATCATACTTTCAGCTCACAATGGCCAGGTGGGCATGGTAAAGGGGAACAGCTGGGCTAGGTGCATAGGACGGGGTGCCTGTTCTGCTGGGAATTCTCCTTCTCCCTTTATTCCATGATGGGCTCCTGCCTATGAAATGGGACTGAACATGTTCCCAGAAAGCCTTTAGTTAATCCTCTCTCTGAATTCTGCCACAGCACACTGGAGATGTGCTTGAATAATCCAGGCAAGTTGACAATGAAAATAAACCATCACAGATGCTGTCCTCCGTTCTATTGTCTGGACCACCACAGCAATGCACTGAACCTTCCCTGAGCATATTTTGTTCATTTGTTTGTTTGTTTTTCATCTGAAAGGAGAAACTATCAGCCAGTCATCCTACTGCTTCTAAAGACCTGGTGGATTTTTCACAGAGGGCAGAGAAATTCTTTCAAGACCTTTAGAAAAATTCTTGGGTTTTGGGTGTTTCCAGATAATTCTGATTGCATTCTTCCCTTTTGTTGTGCTTGAATAAACTACCATCTCTTTGATGAGCTTGGGGACACAGTTGTTTTTATAATTGCATTTTATCCATCTCATAACAAATTTTTGTACCTAGACTAAGACAAAAAACTACCAATTCAATCAATTCAGTCAAGTCAGAGAATAACTGAATGTAGCATGTGTGAATGTTTTGTGTCAGCCTGGGGACCAGTTAAATAACAGATTCTTGCCCTGGGTTTGAATCCTCTGCATCAAATTTGAATGAGGCATTCTTTTCAATTCTGTCTTGAGCAGCCAACCAACTTACATCTTGCTTATTTTACATTTGACTTCCTTAGTTTTATTGAACAAGAAGTGCACTTGGGTTATGCAGGAGAAATAAAAGTCAGATATCCATTCCTACCAGCACCAAAGGCCCAGCCTTGGCTCCTCTAAAACCAATGTTTTGATTTCATTTGTGAAATGCTTACCTTATAGATTATATAAAACACTACACAAATATCTATAAATATCATTGAGTCTGGATATTTTATAGAAACAGAAAATTGATCAAAGAACTGCCATTTCTGGAAGGAGGGTAACCATAGCAACTCCTTTTAGAAGTAAAATGATTATATCAAAACACCTTCGGGATTACATACTCTTAAAAAAAACTTTATTGCTGAGATTTTGAGAACTATTTCATACACACACACACACACACACACACACAGAGAGAGGATGGGGTGGGTGTTGGATGAACAGAGGGAGAGAGAGAAAGAGAGAGGGAGGTGGAAAGGAGGAGGAGAAACTAAACTGAGAAATCCAAGAGAACTCTCTTTTTCCAATAATTGAGAAAATAGTTTCTCTTCATTGACTTACATCAGAATTAGAGTTTTGCTATTTTTCCCATCTAAATTTTCTCAAACTCTGTCATGTGTTCCATGGAACTGCTCCATGCTGATCCAAGAGGGGTTCCAGATTTAAATGAGTTTGAGCATGTAATCTAGCTTACCGCTAGGAGCCTGAAGACTGTCCATCTACCTGGTGGTAAATAAATTGTTTAGCTACAAGGTTTCTTTCTCCTAATGTATTTGCTTATGTGCCAGTTCTCCAAGAGGTTCTGCTGAGAAACCTTAGTGACCATTATTCCACTGACCACAGGCTGAACACTGACCACATGGCAAGTACACACACTATCTATAAGAACTAAGTATAGTTAACACACACTTTGACCAGATATGAGAGATGAGTAGCTACCACCTTCATCTAAAGGCATAGGCAGTACTAGTCTAAGCAGCCTTTAGTGAAGGAGAAGGTTTCAGTTAAGGTGTCATGATAAGCAGGCTGATCTGTCCTGGGGGTGTGGCTAGAGTCGATACTAGAGTGCCCGTGAGATTATTTCACCTTTGGGCTTGCATAGGATTACACGTTCCACTACCTTAGAGTTTGTGACTTGTTTGGCCAATGACATCTGAGAAGATATATGTTGAGTATACTTTCCCATTCATATCTTTTCCCTGTCATTACAACTAGTGATGCTCCAGATTGTAGTAAGGGCAGGGCAAATCCTTCAGTGACACTGGAGAAAATCAGTCTTCCTTCTAAATATACATACCAAACCATGGCAGACATAAAGACAGATCAAAAGGTCAATCTTTTCTGTTTTAAGTGTTTTGAACAGTATCACATACAACTGGTATCATATCCTGTCAAATACTGTGGTCTTTCCCAGTATTAGGTGCCAGAGACCGAGACTGAGACACAATGAGGCAGGCTTCTACTTACCATACAAATCAGGGTTCTCCAAGTCCATCCTCTGTTTCTGTGCTTCAAGGAAAACATGGATGTTGATTCCTCTGGCTGCGGAGCTGCAACCAAAGAATCTGTCTGGGATTTGTGTGCAGATATCTGGCTCATCTGTACCAAACCCTAGATCCAAGAGAATCTCCACTGGATCTTTTTCCCAAAATTCCAGCCATTCAGGAATGCTGAGATAAAACATAAGAATGTCTTTATTTATGAGAGACCATTTATCCATAAGCCATTTTTTCCTACCCACCCAGTCTTCCCAAATTTTACTGGAAGAGGATCTTGAACAGACAAACAGGTGGTAAGTTCACTAGAGGCCACCCAGCTCACTGAAGAGACATCCCACCCAGGGACACTTGTCTGGGTTTTACAAATAAATCCATGAGTTTTCCCATCTGGCTTTCCTTCCCCACTGGGCAAGTGTTAGATTGGAGACAGGGCAGGAAAACTATGAATTGGAAGTTATAGCCAATGCACTGACAATCACCTTGAAACAATAACTGATGACAAAATAGAAAGAAAAAGAAAACAGAATGGAAGAATATTTTCTAAAGCATCCATCTGTAGATAGAGTTTTTTGTCCTTCCTGGTCCCACAGCCGTTTAGTCCCCAAATAAATACATTGAGGCTTATATTAATTATAAATGGTTTGGTCGATGGCTCAGTGTTCTTCTTGGCTAGTTGTCTCTTAATTATTCACCTATTTTTATTAAAATATGTATTGCCACAAGGCTGTGGCTTACCCATAATGCTCTGGCAACTCATGGCATCTCCCTATGGAGACTGCTTCTCTGCCTTTCCTCTTCCCAAGATTCTCCTAGTCTGGTAGCCCTGCCTATACTTTCTGCCTGGCTAATGGCCAATCGGAATTTATTTGTCAACCAATAAGAGAAGCATATATTAAAATCATGCATTAGTCTGTGGCCTCCTCAGCTGCACAAATCTGTCAATGAAATTTATGAATACACACTATAGGATGTTTCCAAGTAATGCTTTCAAGTCCCTAGGTAGGATTAGAATATGTTCTGGTGTTTGTTTGCTTGTTTGTTTGTATTTTTGTCTTGTTTGTCTTAAGAACTAGAAATCCTTTTGTCAAAATATTCTAGTCTGCAAAGGGACAGAAACTAAGAATCAATTATCTAGGAATTTGATGTACACCAACTCACTTCTCACTCAAAAAGTTCTTGTGTTTGAACTTTCAAATGTCATGGACTCATTGGGAACTAGAATATCTCATAAGGGTTCAGCAGGTTTTCTTGCTTTGTCATCAAGGTTTCTTTTTGCTTTACTTCCCATGCTGCTTTCATAAGCTTATTTGAGACACTGTAAATGATGTTCTCCCCAGAGCTTCAGGCTCATGAGCAGGCCCTCTTCACTAATAGCATCAGTATCATGTTCACAATTTCTGATGTCACTTTCAGATTTGTTGATTTGCTTCTGAGCCAACCATTGGAGGAAAAGCAGGCTAGGACCCTCATTGAGGGGTCTAAATGGCTTGGCTGGGATACCTTAATCATTAAAATGATCTGGAAAGCTGCAGTGACAATCAGTTGATTGTATGCCATGAACAAATTGATGTAAAGACGGTTCAAATGAGAAATGAGTTTGGAGAGAATCCTAAATTCCACAAGAAATTTCAATTCATTATCTATTAATACCACTATATAAATCTTTATTCAGTCCATTTTTACTAATCTTTATTGAATATCTGTGATGTTGTAAGTTCTGAGCCTAGGTACCTATGACACAAAGTTAGCAAAAATTGACTTCCAAAGTGTATACTGTCATCGCCACCAATATTCTTATTGATTGATTTGTCATTGAACATATTATTGAATGATTATGAAAATGTCGTCGGGCAGTGGTGGCACACGCCTTTAGTTCTGTCAATTGGGAAGCAGAGGCAGTCAGATCTCTGTGAGTTCGAGGCCAACCTGGTCTACAAGAAGAGGTAGTTTCAGGGTAGCCTCCAAGGCCACAGAGAAACCCTGCCTCAAAAAAAAAAATCATTAACTAGTAACATATTGATTTGCAAAAGAAATAAGTAGAATCAATTCACCTTTTGTAAGTTAAAATATTGCATTTAAATCTTTGTCCTTAGTTCTTACCCCCTTCCCACTAAGTCTATAGTTCTCTCCATATCTTTTTCTCTGGGTGTATACACATTTGTAAATTTTCTGCCTGACTTGTCAATAATAATGTGGTCTCTTTATCTTTTTTCAGCTTGCAAGTTTCCCTTAAAATCTGACCCAGCGATAGTTCTAACAGGCAGAGCTGCATCTGCATATATCATCCTTATTTTGTCAATGAGCAAAATTCCACCAAGTGTATGGTCTAACCATTTGTTGGATATTTCCTAGTGGTACATACTTAACCTCCTTTCCAATTTCATTGTCTCTTTTGATATGTTCTTGAAAATCAGGTTTGGAAATTCTTTGTTTACCCTCTTATCCATTAATTCAACCAATATCTCTCAAGTGCAGATTTATAATTTCATGAAGCCAACTGTTGACCAGAATCATTTATCTGGATGAAAGTGCCAGGAATTCACATACCTTTGTGGTACACCTGTGGTGGAATAGCAAGAGTTGAAACTTGTCCCTCTTGACAGGGTAGGTGTCTCTGAAATCTGGTGCAGAGATCTAGAATAAGGGGATCAAAGATGAGTCACATTAACTTAGATTCTCCCAGGGGGTCCTTGAGAGGATTTGAATTCCAGAGCAAGCATTTGTGTTTCCTCTTGTTTCCAATAAGCCCACAGTGGCCATGCCTTGGAGGGAGGCAATGCTTGCAGCAGAGGGGTACTCCTCCTTTCCAAGCACTATTATAGAAGGTGTGAGAATTTAAGTGTTAGGTGCCTGCAAGTGCTTATTATAAAGGTGATAGAATGTCTCACTCTTGACAGATGGCAAATCATTGGGGGACCTTTCGGAAACACAGCTTTGCTAGGCTCCAACTCGAGGGAAGAAGTTAATATTATGTGATGAAAGGCATGCAGCAAACAACCACTGGAGGTATTCCATGTAATTTCTCACAATGAAGAAGGATCTCATACTTCATGGCTAATAGTCTCTAACCCGTGTCCCCAGAGCTCCTTTGGCCAACCATATGCAATAGTGATGAATTCCTTTACTACACAAAATAATGAGAATCACCATATCTGGTACTCCTGTGTTATAAAACATTTCAAAGCATTTCTAAGGAAAATTGAACTGTATTATAATATGATTCTGTTTTTATGTAGCTCAGGTATATCATGGATCATATTAGAGAATTGACATACAATTAAAATTTATCAAACAACACTCTGCAGATGTCAATGTTCCCAAAGAGACGAGGTTACTAAACTTGAGTTGTTAAATTTGTTTTAGTCATGTCCACACTGAATAAGAACATCTGGACCCTGCCTCCCAGTTTAATTGTTTCTTTAAATTAAAGACAAGAAAGAACATGTTCCTGAATAATAAGAATTCTAGTTTTAAATGACCATAGAGATTGAGGAAAGGGAAAAATATATCCTTTTATGTTTTGCCTTGTGCACTGTTTAGGTTTTTTGTTTGTTTTTGGTTTTGTTGTTGTTTTGTTTTGTCTGTTTGTTTTAAACTTGATACACAATTTAGAGAGACCTGCGAAAAGAGCCATGATTGGGAATTTCCTCCACCAAAATGGCCTGTGGGAATATCTGTAGGGCATTTTCTTGGTAGAGGAAAGCCCAGTCTAATATGGATGGACCCATCCATAGGTAGGTGGTCCTGGGCTGTAAAGGAAGGTAGCTGAGCAAGTCACACTCCTCTGTGGTCTCTGTTTGAGTCCCTGACTCTGGGTTCCTGCCTTGAGTTTCTGCCCTGGCTTCCCTCAGTGAAGAACTGTAATCTGTAAACCAGATAAACACTTTCCTCCTTCAAGTTCCTTTTGATCAGTGTTTTTTTTCCCCCACAGCATCAGAGAGGCATACTGCCATACCTCATCTCTTTGAATTTCAGTTTTCTTTTTGAATTTAAGGACTACATCTATTTTGCAATGTTCGGTTGAGCAACCTAGAAGCAGCACTGGCCTTAGATCCAGAAGAACCTATAACACTTGCTGTTTTGATCCATCCGTGTGGGCATGAGCTTGTCTTAATCTCCTCTTTGAGCTCCCTGTGAAATTTTCTTGGTGCCTTATAAATATGCAATTGCTTTATAACAAAACAACGAATTACCTAATGGAGGAAAAACTGGGGAGTGTGTGCTCCTCAGCACTGGAATAATTCAGGAATTACAAAAATGACCCAAGAGCAAGAAGCAGTTCCCTGTCTCAGGGTCCCAGCATTTTAAAAACTAGCCTATGCCTTACAATCATCTGATGGGTTTGCAAAGCACAGGTCTGAACCCCATCTAAGGTTTCTGTTCACTATGTGTATGGTGGGTATTCATGTTCAGTGTCACACAACTGCACATGAGAGCATACTATTCTCTCTTTCCTTAGGGACACAATGCTTCCCATCATCATCCAGATAGTCAGTAGATAGTATGGCCGGCAACATCATTAGATAAACAAAAACATGCGTACACCTTCTATAAATGGATGTATTGTAGTAGAATGCATTTATGCAAGTATTATAATTGAGTTCCATATAAGGTCAACATTTGTTGATGTAACCCTATACTTACTTTATGATATTTAAGGCATCTCTAATTCTGCAAAGACTATCATAAATGTTTCAATCATAGTGGCTAAAACAGTGACATATCATGAGATCCTAAAAACTATGAAATTGTTGAGAAGAAATTATCCTTGTTTCTACTTCATTAATTGCTATCGATGAAAAATTTCAGAGTGGAGTGACTGACTCTACTACCTACCTCATGTAGTCTTTCACGGTCATTTGAACCATTCCTTGTTCATGCAAAGAAGCTGAAATTACAAAGAAAAGACAGAAGTAAATATAACTGTCATCCATGTGTGAGCAAGGTTTCCCATGTCCAAGTGAGTCTTTGTGGGAAGGGATTCCAATGTCCATTACAGTTACCTGGCACAGTCTCTACAATGAACAAGATACAGTGCACCAAATGCTAAAGGGTGTGAGAAGTAGTGACATTCAGTGTGGGGAGTGTGGTGTCAGCACCAAAGAGGACATTTAGCAATGGTTTCATGGCAAGGAGACATTCGGATTTTGAAGAGTGGTTAAAGTTTGCTGGATAAAGGGGTACAGGTATGAAGCACCATTCTGGAGCTATTTTCACAGTAGCAATAGCATCTAGGGCTGCTCTGTCAAGATCATAGATGGAATGGTAAGGCCAAAGGCAGGTAGCCATGGATGAAATATTCAGTAGGTGCCAAGCTCTATCATTCTTTGGTATCATATAGTGCTTTCAATAGCCTTCCAGTCTAGGCCCGATTCTTTTTCTTCAATGGAAGGCATGGAAACTTTGCCATGATTCCATGACCACACAGTCAAGTGTAGCAAAGTTAAGAAATGAATTACCACCTTTATTATTGATTAAAGCAATAGCAGTGGTCCTGCCTCCTGCTTGTCCTCCTTGGGGGTCTCCTGGCCTGGGGCCTGAGCACAGGTGGGCCTTCCCCAGCATACCAAGCAATCCAGAGTCATTGCAGTTCTAGTCCCATCTCTGTCCACTAGGAGAGGGAGTGTCTCAGACCCTCCTGCACTCACAAGGAAAGCCATCTGAATATTGGACCTGCTTACAACCACCAGAATAGACGCTTGCACCCCCATACCAATCACAGGATCAGAGAGGAAGAAAATCCACCTTTCCTCATTGGAAGAAAGGATAGGAAGATGACAACAACATAAAAACACATTCAACAACAGAAAGGCCAATGTGACACCAGGACTCTACACCAACAAGACCTGAGCATCCCAACACAGATGAAGCAGTAGAAATGACCTTAAAAACAAATTTATGAAGATGATAAAGACCCTCAAAGAGGAAATGAGAAAATCACTTAAATGGAAAAAAAAAACAAACAAAAAATTCAAGAAATGGAAGAAAGGACAAACAAAAACTTCAAAAAATAAACAAATCTCTTAAAGAAAGCCAGAAAAAAGAAATCAAACAAGTGAAGGAAACAATTCAAACAGTTCAAGGCTTGAAAGCTGAAATAAAGACAATTTAAAAACACAGTCTGAGGGAACGCTGGGAATAGAAAAGCTGTGTAAGGCATCAGGAACTACAGATGCAAGCATAGCCATCAGAATACAAGAGATGGAAGAGAGAATCTCAGGCTTTAAAGATACACAAGGAGAAATAGATTCATCAACCAAAGAAAATCTTAAGTCCAACAAATCACAAACACAAAATATCCTGGAAATTTGGAACACAATAAAAAGGCCAAACCTAAGAATAAGTACAGAAGAATGTAAAGAAACACATCTCAAAGGTGCAGAAGAATATTCAATAAAATCATAGAAGAAAAATGTTCCCAAACTAAAGAAAGATATACCAACAAAAGTACAAGAAGCTTACAGACCACACTGAATAGACCACAAAAAATTCCCCTTGCCACATATTAATCAAAACACCAAACATAAGGAATGAAGAAAGAATATTAAGAGTAGCAAAGGAAAAAAGGCCAAGCATCATATAAGGGCAGACTTGCCAGAATTACACCTGACTTCTCCATGGAAACTCTGAAGGCCAGAAGGTCCTGCATTGATATTCTACCAACACTGAAAGACCACAGAAGCCAGCCCAGACTAATATACCCAGCAAAGTTTTCAATCACTATAAATGGAAAGAACAAGATATTACATGACAAAACATATCCACGAATCCAGCCCTACAGAAAGTTCTGGAAGGAAAACTCCAGCCCAAGGAAGTTAAATTCACTCCCAAAGACATAGGCAATAGATAATCCCACTTTGCCAAAAGCCAAAAGAAAAAAAGGGGAATATCCACACACAATACCACTAACAACAACAAACCCAAAACAAACTAGAATTAAAAAAATCAATGGTCATCAATATCCCTCTATACTGATGGTCTTAACTTGCCTATAAAGAGACACAGGCTAACAGAATGGGCATAAAGACAGAATCAAATCTTCTGCTGGATACAAGAAATCTGCCTCAACTTCAAAGACAGATGTTTCCTCAAAGTAAATTGTTGGGGAAAAAAAATCGAATCAAATGGACCCAAGAAACAAGCTGGTATAACAATCCTAATAACAAATTAGGCTTCGAACTAAAATAAATCAAAAAAGATGAAGAAGGTCATTTCATATTCATCACAGAAAAAATCCATCAAGATGAAGCTTCAATTCTTGAATATTTATGCCCCAAATACAAAGATATCCAGACTTGTAAAAGAAACATTAGTGAAACTCAAATCACTCGTAAAACCTCACACACTTATAGTGGGAGACTTCAACACCCCACTCTCACTACTAGACAGGACCATCAGACAGAAATTTAACAAAGAAAAAAGGAACTAACAGAAGTTATGACTCAGTTGGGTTTAACAGACATCTATAGAACATTCCATCCAAACACAAAAGAATATACCTTCTTCTCAACTCTAAAATCAACCGCATACTCGGCAACAAAGCAAACCTCAACAGAATCAAAAAAACTGGAATAATCCCCTGTATCTTATCTGACCACCATGGTTTAAAGTTGGAATTCACAAACAATACAAATTACAAAAACCCTACAAACTCATGGAAAGTGAACAATGCACAATTATGGCATACCTGGGTCAAGGAAGAAATAAAGAAAGAAATTAAAGACTTCCTACAATTCAATGAAAATGAAGACACACCATACCCAAACTTGTGGGACACTTTGAAAGCAGTACAAAGAGGAAATTTCATAGTACTAAGTGCCCACATGAAAAAAACTGGGAAATAGTCACACTAGAGAATTAACAGCACACCTGAAATCTCTAAAACAAAAAGAAGCAAACTCACCCTGAGGAGGAGTAGATGCCAGGAAATAATCAAATTGAGGGCTGAAATCAATAAAGTAGAAACTATTAAAAAATTTAAAGAATCAATGAGAGAAAGAGTTTTTTTTTTTTTTTTGAGAAAATCAAGAAGACAGACAAACATTTATTAAACTAAGCAAAAGAACATTCAAATTAACAAAATCAGAAATGACAAGGGGGCCATAACAACAGATACTGAAAAAATCTTCAGGTCAATGTTGAAAACCTGTACTCCACAAAATTCAAAAATTTAAAGGAAATTGTCAATTTTCTGGGTAGATATGACTTACAAAAATTAAATCAAGAACAGACAAGCAAGTTAAATAGACCTATAATTCTAATGTATAGGAAGCAGTCATCATAAGTCTCCAAACAAAAAAAAATATCTCAGGGCTACATAGTTTTGGTGCAGAATTCTTCCAGAAATTCAAAGAATAAATAATATCAATAATCCTCAAAGTGTTCCATACAATAGAAGCAGAAGGGTCATTGCCAAACTCTTTTATGAGGCTACAATTACCTTGGTAGCAAACCTCACAAAGACACAACAAAGATAGAGAACTACAGAACAATATCCCTCATGAACATTGATTCAAAAACACTCAATAAATGGCGAATCAAATCCAAGAACCATCAGAAACATCATTGACCATGATCAAGTAGGCTTCATCCCAGGGATGCAGGGATGGTTCAACATATGAAAATCCATCAATATAATCTACCATATAAACAAATTGGAAAAAGAAAACCACATGATATTCTCACTAGTTGCAGAAAAAGCCTTTGATAAAATCCAACATCCCTTCCTCTTCCTTATAAAAGTATTGGAGAGATCAGGGATAAAAGGAACATATCTAAACATAATAAAAGCAGTATACAGCAAACCAACAGCCATTATCAAAGTAAATGGAGAGAAACACAATATGATTCCTCTAAAATCAGGAACAAGACAAGGCTGCCCACTCTCTCTATATCTATTCAATATTGTACTATATTGTACTTGAAGTACTAGCTAGAGCAATAAGCAAACAAAAGGAGGTCAAGGGAATGCAAACTGGAAAGAAGAATCAAACTTTCACTATTTGCAGATGATATGATAGTTTACATAAGTGACCCAAAAAACTCTTCCAGGAACTCCTACACCAAAGTGGCAGATACAAGATTAACTAAAAAAAAAAAAATCAGTAGCCCCTATGATATACATAAGATAAATGGACTGAGAAAGAAATCAGAGAAACATCCTACTTCACAATAGCCACAAACAAGGTAAAATATCTTGGAGTAACTCTAACCAAACAGTGGAAATTACTGTATAACAAGAACTTCATTCTTTAAAGAAAGAAATTAAAGAAGATACCAGAAAATGGAAAGTTCTCCCATGTTCTTGGATAAGTAGAATCAACATATTAAAAATGGCAACCTTACCAAAAGCTATCTACAGATTCAATGAAATACCCATCAAAATCCTAGTACAATTCTTCACAGACCTTGAAAGAACAATACTCATCTTTATATGAAAAAATGAAAAACCCAGGATAGCCAAAACAATAAAGGATCTTCTGGAGGCATCACCATCCTTGACATCAAGCTCTATAATCCTGAAAACAGCTTGGTATTGTCACAGAAATAGACAGGTAGACCAATGCAATCAAACTAAGAACCCTGATATTAACCCACACACCTATGAACACCTGATTTTTGACAAAGCAGCTAAAACTTTACAATGGAAGAAAGAAAGCATCTTCAACAAATGGATGTTAGCATGTACAAGATTGCAGATATATCCACATCTATCACCATGCACAAAACTTAAGTCCAAATGGATCAAAGACCTCAACATAGATCCAGCCATACTGAACCTCTTAGAAGAGAAAGTGGAAGGTACCCTTGATAGAATTGGTACTGGAGACTTTTTCCTGAATATAACACCAGTAGCACAGACACTGAGATCAACAACTAATAAATGGG